AGAAAGCAGATACAACTTTAAGATCGGGGCCTGTACGAGAACAAGGAGCCATAGGCTAAGAAACTCCCGATGGGATGGGCCACCTTACATGCGCGGACGCATGCAACATCAGCTAAAGTTTCAAGGGAGTTGAGCCCTCACTGACGTGAAAACTGCCAGAAAATCCAGAAAATATCTGGGGAGATCGACGCAGTGGCAGTTTCCTGGAGTTCCCAAGTACGCCCCGCATATAAAGCGTCGCGAATGGGTAAACTGTGTATCGAATTCTTCAATAGATAACCTCTGTGCAAATGGCAATAGCCGTTACCGCCGCCTCTCCTCCTTCCATACCGATAACTCAAAGCCGTAATGAACTCGTAGGGGTGATATAGACATGTATATGTGGCCCATAAGCCATTGGATTTAGGACAAATGACTCAGAGACCATCAGTGCAAAGTTGACTTAGGAGTAAAACAGACAGAGAGCGAGATAAACCCACTATACACCAGCTTGAAAACAACCCGAGAGCTGCTTCGATTTGACTAAATAGCCTGTACCCCGTTAACATATAAATGTAATGGTCCGGTAAGAATTTATCGAAAGCTAACATATGCTCACCAACTGCCCTTCGGAATTATTTTTCAGTTAAACAAACCCGTAATTTATACACGTACACATTAGAAGCCTAAAAGATTGCTAGATAAAATAAACTCAAGAACGCCAGAGAAATGCATGTATGGGAGGAATCCCACCAGTGATTTGATAGCCGGGATGGCTATCTCTGGGCAAATTGAGGTGGTGCGGCGACCGAATTCGGATGACAATACTGACATCTATGATCAGGACACAAATTTTCCACTAACTGTAGAATGGGACTCACGGTCCCCTGAAGGGAGTGTACTCCAGTGACGTTGGAACAACTCACTTTTTTAACATACCAAAACTAGAAAACGAATATCTTAAAATGCACCTCCTCCTCTTCCTCCGTGAGCCAGCATGGGCAAGCAAGTGGCTAGGCTCCAAACGGTTGATTATCCACCAATCCCCAATTTAAGGCATACGGGCACTGACTTCCGGGGCCCATGAAGGGCAAAGTGCAAATTGTAGTCCTCTTTGAGCGAATCCTGACGAGGGTGGGAGGACAGGTGGGAGAGGCTGTAAACGCTGCATTTAGATTCAACGTTAAAGTTTTAATGTTAAAGATAGAGAGAGGAAGGCATGCGACATGAATTGTCCGATGTTATCTTACCTACGCTAGCACGGGTACTCAGTGCCCGCAAAATGACGACTTGGACAGCTACCAGGAGACCAAGTGTTGGTCATAGGTAGGAGTATGCACACGATCTTACGGGCTTATGTGCGATTTTAGACTTCTAGTTTTAGTGTTCAGGTGTGCATTAACTATTACGGCGGGTGGAAATTTAGGTTGCACGCTTGAGGAAAGGTATATGTACATGCGCAGATCTGTGAGCTTAGAACTCGCGCATTTGTGCAGTAAGCGCATATAGGGATAGGTGTTCTTTCGAAGTTACTTCAGCCTGTCTCGCTACGAGAAATATGCGACGATTTACTTTCGAATGTAAACCAAGGGAACTGAGTTAAATGCTTCAGATCATACTGAAGCTGCAAAACAACACAATGTAGTTGTTCTGAAACAGACGAGCACAGAAAGGATTAGATGGCCACTACGTAGCGACCGTTTCTTAGATTGTGAACCCGATGTAGGAGGACGAACAACGTTAACAAGAGGACTCACGACTCGTACTTTACACGATATATTCGAAGCGTATGAAAGCTATCTCTTCCTAACAGCTGCCTGTTTTAAGAGACATTCTACAATGCCTTTTACCTTGGTAAGTAATGCTCCCTCAGATCAGAAGTCTATCACAGAGCGAAAGCCGTTTGGGTATTCTAAAGCTAGTCCTACGTCTCTTTCGTCACTGGACCAAACGATATGCTCTCGCATCTGGAATTTTTGCAAACAAGGACATGGACACTGCAACGGTCATTGCTGGCATATTTGGTGTCGTCGATCAGTGATACATCCCAAACTCAAGCTGCGCACCCGTGCTTAGAGTGCGAGTCAGTTCAGCATCGAACAACGCTTTCCGCACTGCGTTACGACAATTCGATGGCCGACAGTTACCCTCTTGCGCTCAGGCCATTGTTACTAAACTAAGAGACTTAAAAGGCTCGATAGGAACTGCAAAAAATGTCAATGAGTGAAAGTTACAAAGCCTAACTACTTCCATGGCCAACGCCATACCTGGGCCGTCTAAACCGTCTACTAAAAGGTACCCTGGCGAGAAATTCCCGGGCAGATCAATTAAACCGTTAGGAATTCGATATTTATCTGTTGGAGCCACAGCTTCGCCCAACAAAGTTGCAAGATCTACTCAAATCAAAACTCGCAACCGGCGATTTCTACGAGTCATTGCCTTACCAAGTGGCAAAAACAGATGTTTCTTCGCCAAATACCAGTCCTGATAGAACACGCTCTTAAAGTTATGCATTTGAGTTTATACCGCACAACGGAGAAAGCCGCCGCAGTCTGCGACTTCAGGTGTAGCAGCAGTTAAACAGTAAACTACCAGTCTATGAAACTAGACCATTCTGGAAACAACCGCTCCCTTGTCGGTCAGTCCAGCTGTTTTGTTCGACCATGCAGGTATGTAGGATCAAAAGCGAGACGTATCTGGTTATCCCTAGGTCAGTTGCGAGTGGCAGTGTCTGTATGACACGCCTATTCTGTTCATAGTCGTACATTGGTTGGAGAGCTCAAAATTGCAAATTGTACACCCGTGACAACTAGAGACATTGTGTGCAAGGAGACATGTACCGTTAGGTAGCATCCTTTGCACATAGTCTAGAAGACTGGTTCGGTAGGTCGCGTAGATAATGACGAATTTGAACACCTGGAAGAACAAAGACGACTTCGTCTACCATGACGAAAAAGGCGCGTTGGGTTATTCTCCCCCGATACATGCGCTCTGAGACGTCTCTGATAAGATGACAGAGTTAAGTAACCCAATAAACGTAGGAATGATCGAGTCGCCTTCTGTGGATGTTCATCCCGAACTAATTCTCCAGCACTGCACAAATACACAAGTTCTAAGTTCACCTCAGATTGCGGATGTTAAGTCAACCGAGAAATTATACGTCTCTTACTGATCGAAACTAACCAAGTGACGTCCTACCAATAAGAAAATCACAACAACTTACCAGATAAACGCAGACGCTTATCTGAATCGTCGTCTAGAGAGTCCATCGCAACACAACCTCTTGAACGCTTACATACATATCCATTGCGGAATCCGGGATTTAGGGTACCTAAGGGTGAAAGTGGAACACGACAGACAGTATTGGTGACAGGTTCAAGCTTCTGAAGCCTCGTGAATTCATTGAGAGCGGACGCGATCTGGAAGTGTCCCGCCATTGCCGAAAGTTCTGACGGTCTTCGTCCATAAAAGTTCCGCGTACTTAAAGAGGAGATTAACAATAGCACATTGCTAATCTTACTCTGTACAAGCAGCATGGTTTAGCAAGGCCTTGATGCATTCCATGTGGCCTTTACGAGCGGCTTTGTGAAGAGGAGTATCACCTGATGAGTCCTACAAGAAGACATGAGCGAGGCAGTAGAAATTGATACCTGCAAGTTAACTCGGGCGGAGTTGGCAAGAAGAAAACGGACAGCGTCAGCAAACCCGTACTCAGCAGCCAGGTGTAGCGGTGTCGCAAGCGACCGTTCGGCGGGAGTATCCAGAGCGCCGTAGGGTGCTAGATGTAAAAGGCAATCGAACTAGGCAAAAATCAATTTCAACATAAGAAGCATACATGTTTAGAAGAAACGGCCCAGTGTGCAGGTGTCCAGTAGTTCAGGTTGTCGAGACCGTTTGGATTCAAACCGGCGTTGGATAGGCAATTTTGGAGACCCTTGGCGTCCCCCATTAGGCAACAGTAGTGCAAAGGAAATTCGTTGAGCAAATCACCTTGATAAACCGACTCCTGCAACGGGGAGATGAGGAAACAAGAAGATAAAAGAGATCGACGCTTGGGGTGAAGAAAACTGTCCTTTTATTTACAATGGTGTTGTCTTGGGGGAAAGTTAAAAAATGAAAGGTGTATATCTTGAAAAACGGAGGATTACGTTCGCTAAAACACTATCGGTTTCCGCTTGCACTATATATTTTAAAATAATAAACAGTAAGGGAGTAGGGGGCACCCGAATTGGGAAGGAGTTACTACCGATTCTTATTGATTTTACTAATAGTGCATACATACACTAATAAAACGCATTCTAGTGGAATTTTAGGCGCGCCAGTTAGTGAACGTGGACAGTATGCATGCTCTTCGAGAGCCATCGAAGTTGCAACCAAAATCGTGCTTTGTCGCCGAAGTGGACTGTTCATCGGTATCCCTTGTAGTCAACCGTGCAGTATGCCATCAAAACCACTTCGACTGACTCAAGTTCCTTACAGAACTAACCCCGATGTTCACTCTGGCGCCCGTCGGAACTATTTCCCAACTAACTCTGATCCACCAGAAGACAGACTGGTTCGTCAGAACACGCAGTCTGACTATTTCAGGGTCAGAGTATGCAGTGAAAGCGGAATACGTTAGAAATATTTTCTGTAGAACTACAACTCGCTTATACCGGTGCGAGGGCGATTTGAAGGACTTAAAAGCGAAATATCCAGAACAAAGACGGGCTCTGATATGTGAAAACGGTCCCAGAACTATTTAGTGGTTAAATCTCTGGGTTAATGGGCAAATGTTCCACTGGGTCAAATCTAGGAGAAACTAAAGACCGGATCAACTATGTAACCATGGTCCTCTTGACTTCATTGAAACCTCTGGAATCAATATGAAATCAGTACAATGACGAAACTAAAGGTTTTCGGGTTTCCGTCGAAAAATATTTTTGTGTACGGGATAAGTGGCCTATGTGTAAAGTAAATAGCTTAAATTGGCATGTTTGATGGATGGTGATGGCACTCAATTCTTCGAATTCGACCATGAGGCCGCGTTTCGAACCAATTAACGTACAGTTGGCCACTCGCCAACTGCGGCCTCGTCATTCGCAGATCACCGATACAGTTTGGCCATGCGTTACACTGACCTATTAGCTACATCATCCGAAACAGCATTTTGTTTGTACTCGATCCTAGGTGGCGATAGCATCAAGGTGCCCAAATAAAAACCCATGCGTAGGCAGTAAGGGTTTGGTTCTTGGATACGAAATCGCTCAATGAGGCCCTGAAAGTAGTTCAGAAGTAATAACTTGACCTCGATCAAGAGATCGTCCCCAATTTACTGGGATAGATGATCAGT